AGCTCAATTTAAGCCAACCAATAACATAGAAGCAATTATTTTCAATTTGGGTTTGTCTATTGGAACAAAACACACAACACACTTTTTAGTGTACATTCCCACATTGTGACTACAGATATCGAAAATTATTACAACACACTTTTTAGTGCACACATGCTCTAGAACCACCCCCGTGACCCTAGTACTGTAACTCATACCCATTTTTGCATAACTCAAATCCTAACTTATAGATTCGATTAGAACTATATAATTCAAATTGTTGGAGATATTACACCGTTAATGTGCATGAATTATATTCTCAAAACGTTGGCGATATTACACCGAAAGGTTTGTCTTAAAAGACCCAACCATCTTTATGCTCTAGTACTTGAATTTATGCTTCGTACTCCAAAACAAACCATCTTTTCCAACATCCTCCCATGTCGTAGAAAGTACTCAATCAGGCGCATATCTTCTGTTGTGTAATCAAATACGCGAAACTCAATCCTCCTAAGGCGTGCCAAACAGAACAAACATTGCTCACCGAACTAATGACCAACTTTACAAGTTGGGAAGCCCTTTCAAGGATGCCTAACAATATTCGGGAATCATGAACCTTCAGCTCCAAAGTATCACATATTTCAACACAGAACTTAAGGGATTTGGGTAGGTAGTCTTCTTGAAAATATTAAAAGAGAGTATGAGAAAAATATACTAAAATAACTAATTCTATTTTTAGAACATGAGTTTTCAATGGTATACTTTACTTGTATAGCATTAGTTGACAAATATAGGTACTTCACACCCGTCAACTCGTTGATAAATTGCATCCTTTCGCCGGATCTTGAGCATCCTCTTTAAAAAGAATATTCAGTCCCGATTTTACCAATATAACAGGTTCACTACTTACATAAGTAGGAATAGAATCACACTTTGAATGAGATTTGAGTGCTTTTGATCTTGAATCAGTAGTTGAATCACATTTTGAATGATGAGATTTGAGTGCTTTTGATCTCGAATCGTACAATAATTAACATAAACACAGGCCATCACTTTCAGAAAAGAAAACAGAGGCTATTAGATAATGTCAGGGAAAAGAATGAAAGTCTCACAATACGAAGCCCACATTGGCTTTGGCGTTGGCATTGGCGGAGGAGGTGGTGGAAGTATGATACCGTTTTGTGAAAAAAAAAAATTGAAATCAACTTGAGCTCGAGTGCTGATTTAAAAACAAAAACATGAGTTTAAAACACATGACAAAGAAACTGAATATAACTCATTCAAACTAATTGTGGACAAAACTAATCCGCGTACTGAACATTTCGTGTAGATTTTAACTTTGCTAACTTTTTGTGAACGTAAGTTCACTTTATCAAACATATGAGTAGTATTCTTCAAACTATATTTTTATCCATATATTTTATAGAAGTACTTTTAAATAAGTTTTAACCATGAGTTCCAAGAAAATAATAACAAATATGGATGTGTATTTTTGGCGAAGTTTTAATTATAATTAAAGTTGGTTAAATATAATTTCGTTAACACATTTTGTAGGACATACAATTATAACTCATTTATTATCCATACAGATCTATAGTTTGTAGGCAATTAATAAGAACTACCAAAAATAACATGAATAAGTAATACAATATTGAAAATGATGTATGAAAAGTTACAGTATAGTTCTCATTGTCTAGATAGAATTCTTCGACCTTGGGAGACTTTTTATAGAAACTATTTTATTGAATTTAGGTAAATGAGAATAATTTAATGGAGTAACTAAAGAAACAATGGATTGAACAAGAAGTATGCAAACAGTTACACTTCCAAGCAATAGAATACAAACCAAAATCACAAAAGTTTTATTCATATCTCTTGATTAATGAACAAGAATTAAGTACTGAATTTATCCTAAAAACATGAGACAGAAAAAAGAAAGACAGTTCACAAATATATTCACGCTCGTACTGTGTGTTTGAAAAATTCTGCAAAATAAATAGAAAGAAAAGTGATCAAATAGAATAAATAGAATAAGGGCTTCCGAAAAAGAAGAGACCTACATGGACAATTTGAGAATGTTTCGTAAGACATACAATTAGAACTCATTTATTATCCATACACATCTACAATTTCTAGGCAATTAAAAAGAACAACCAAAAATAACATGATTAAGTAATACAATATTGAAAATGATGTTAGAAAAGTTAAAGTAAAGTTCTCATTGTCGAGATAGAATTCTTCGACCTTGGGACACTGTTTATAGAAACTATTTTATTGAATTCCGATAAATGAGAATAATTTAATGGAGTAACAAAATAAATAATAGA